GCCGACGGTGCCAGAATGAGCGCCGACGGCGCCAATGTCAGTTCAAACCCTGTTTCTAGAAGAGTCGACGAATTTGAACACTTTTTGAAGGTTTTTTGGATGCATCTATTGGAGAGCCAACTCTAGGCTCTATTTGGGGCCGAAATTGATCAAAAAAGGGGGCTCCTCTTCATTCCTCCTTGCTCCTTTTCGCTACACCTCGCCTCCATACACATTTTCCATCTTCATTCCACAACCATTCAGGAGTCTATTAGCGATTTATCTTTAAGAGTTTAGAGTTTTTGTGGTGAGATTAAGTGTGAAATCTTCTCTGAGAGTGTTGGAGAAGGAGAAAAGTGAGAGATTTTTTCTTCCTAGATTTCCTAGGAGAGGCTACGAAAGAGTTTCAAATAAGTGTTGTTTGTTTATTAGTGTTGTATGAACTTTCTTTTATATATGAAATTTGTGTTTTGTTATATCTTTCTTATGAAGTTTGAATAGTCTTTTTTATCTTTCTTTTTACTCTGAGATATGATGAAATGAAGAGATAATATGAATGTTCTAATATTAAAATATAAAATAAATTATGATGATTTTTCAACTCCGAACTTAATTTATTTTTTGATCTGATCAATTGAATTGTTAAAATGTGTTGTGAAACATATGATCCGAGAAATGAAGTATGAGTTCTGCAACAGAGTGAAGATCATATTTGATTCCATGAAGGAATATTTCGTTCATGCAATTAAGTGTAAATAAATAGAAAAATATACGTTGTTGGGTGTATAATTGGAGATTTTAGGGTGACAGACTAAAATCTCCAATTCGGTCTTAGTGTTTAAAAACTAAAACGAGAGTTAGCCTTCAGGTGAAGGAAAGTGGGAGCTCTGGAGTGAAAGCCAGTATCCTCCTAGCCTAGTCACGGATTTAGGAACTAAACCTGAGATTAACTAATGATTTTCTATAACACTGTATCAGGGTAGAGAATTAAAACTGCTCCTATTTGACACTATATATATTAAAATCATTTATCTCATCTCATTTTATCAAAATCTCATTGTAGTGGAAAAGATGCTTTTTCACATAAGAAATCTTCATCACAAAATATAGTTTAGTAGTTACTGTTTAAACTTTGCACTTTAGTTTTGCTAATAACTAAATAATTTAGTTTTGATAATATCTCAGCATTCGAAATTAGTGACAATACTTTTGTTTCACTTTCTGTGAATTTCTTAGTAAATTTATCACTTCAAATTTCAACCTTCTCTATGGGATCGATATTTGGGGCTTGAATATAAAGTCCTTTATTACTTGATAACGATGCGTATACTTGCATAGAATCCCAACATTAATTGTTTAAATTTCTTAATCATAAATATTGCATCAAGCGTTTGGCGTCGTTGCATAGCGGAGTCAAACTTATATAAATTTTACACAACTATATTTTCACCGGGATCAGTTCTCTATACCCAAAATTATCCACCAGATAGATAAGACTCTAGAAATGGCCTCTATAAACTCAAGGGGTGACTCCTGCCTCGTAACACTTTGCCCCATCCATGTTTCCAGAGATGGCTCCCATGACATAGTATTTTGCTCTGTACGACACTTAGTTGCCATCTTTCAGCTGGTGTGTTGCTATGATACCATTTGTAATAGCCTGAACTCTCACCAATCAAGGTATTGTCCGCTTTGGTTTAGTGGCCTTACGGTTTTGTCCTGTTGGTGTAACTTAGGCACCCATTCTAGTATTGCTTCATGATCAACATGCTTAACTTTGGAGTTTTAATTCCATCGTTACACCAAATGACACCTTAATGTTTAAAAGTTCAACAACAATCTACTTAAGGAGTTTCACAATCTCTCCCAGTTAAGTAGCTGTCGTCATCGTCAATATTCGTTTCTCAGAATCATTCACCGGGTAAAGAGGACTCTAGAGGTGTCCCTTATAGATTTAAGAGATGCCTCCCACTATGTAGCACTTTGTCCCGTCCATGGTTCAAGAGGTGGTTCCCATGGCGTGACACTTTGTTCTGTATGACAATTGCTCCCATTATCCAGCTGGTGTTTGCTCTGATACCTTTTGTGATAACCCGAGCTCTCACTTATCCACTTTGGTCTAATGTCCTCACGAGTTTGCCTCGTTGGTGTAACTTCTTAAGAGATTACCCATACTAGGTGACGTAGAAGCTCCCTGCAGGATCATTTCTACATGAAAATGTTCCAACAAATGTTCCTTAAATTTCTCCCAAGAACGAATCAAATATTTAGCTTCCCTCCATTGAAACCAAGCTAGGGTCCTCTAAAAATAACCTTACTGTCATGGGTTTTTCCTCCCCATCTAGCTCATTTACCACGAAGAATCACTCCACTTGATACACCCACCCATGTGTGTCATTCCTCCCAAAGAATCTACATCTTCAACTTCCTAACTCTAGCATCTCTATCTAACTTCATTTCCCTCCATTATTTCCCCCTAGGTATCAAGGGTAAAACTCTGTCCTTGGATCATAATCATATCCTCTCCTTGCTTCTCTGTTTTCTTTTTCATGCTCTTTTGTACTTCTTTCATAACCTCATCTCCATGTTTCGGCCTAACTGCCTCAATAAAAAATCTCTAATCCACCCCCAATCGGAGCCCTGAATGTATGTTCTTGATGTGGGATGTTTTTCTCCTCGTGTCTACTCGTTTGATCTCTTTCCTTTTCGATTTGGTCATAGAATCTCTTGTCAACTCTTGATTAGGATTTGCAATTTGAGTTGCAACAAGAGCCTTGGATTTCGTCTCAATAAGCTTACTTATCATCTCATCCCAGCCCCCAAATCGGTTTTCTATGGAAGAAAGCCTATCATTTATGGGAAAAATCCTTCTTTCTTTGGAAAAAGAACTTTCCTCTATCTCGGATTGAAGTTGAGTCATCTCTTCCTCCACTTTATTATCCAAATCATCTACTTTTTTTATTATCTTCTCTCCCAGTATAAAGCTTGTACATTGAAATCCCATTGCCGCTTCCCAATTAGCTCAAATCACGACTGTATCACGAGACCACAAAGGCCACAGCAGGGCCTCGATCCCATCTTCTCAGCTATAGCACGACTGAAGCCAGATTGCAACTGCAACATGATATTTTCATCACAGTACGCAACGATCCTGTGGTTTGCTCCCAACTAACTTGATTGCGACAATATCACTAGATGAGTTTGCTGTACACTGCATTTGCTTGATGTTGATTGTATCGCCATAACGAAAATCAGACACTTTGTATGTCGTGGTTCCGTCTTTGTCTTCTTTGCAAAGACAAGAAAAGTTTTGGGTCTCTATAAGTCGGGATCTTGTCATTGCCTTCCCATCTAGCTCTGATCGTGACTGTATCATGTCCAAGGAGTGGGAGGAGGAGAAAGGTTGGCCTTTCGGGTCTTTGTAAGCCGCGATCCTGTTGTTGCCTTCTCTACCAGCTCTCTTTGTCTTGAGCCCGTTGTCGCTTCCCAGGCTCGATCCCAACTCTATTGCACAAACAAACACAAGAGGGAAAAGGTTGGAGATTTAGATCTCTATAGCGAGCCCAATCGGTTGGTTGGACGCATAATTATTTTCAGGTCACAATTCTTTCTTCCCATAATGAAACACTGATAGCAATTGATACGATCCAACACATAAATCCAAATGAATTTTCATAGCAATTAGGGTAAAGCAAGTACTTTTCTTTAATAATCTGAAAAACTCAACATGAATACACAGTAAACACATACAATTCGAGAGGGAGGCGATCTCTCCTAATTTCTACAATTCAAGAGGTAGGAAATCTCTCCCAATCCCTAAACCTAAGACCAACAACAATAATCTCATGCATAACCCTACTCCTAAGTTGTTAGGCCCTCTTTATACCCAACAGTAATAATAATTAAAGACCAATTTGCCCTTAGGCTAATAAAAGACAAAGTTGCCTTTGGGTCGGTACGTAACATAAACCCTCGCCGATCACTACTACCATTCTTGGGATACACTCTAGTTGTGCTTGTTTGTGTCTGTTGTTTATTTTCCCTTTCAAGTGTATTGGTTGTAACCTCCTATTTACTTTCAGTGATAATATTTGCTTTCTTCTTGTGGTTTTGGTTAACTCCGGTATCACTATGCGAGCGCGCTTACTTTGGAGTTTCTAATGAAATTCCACCGTTGCAACAAAAGAAGCATCAATGTGTGAGAGCTCAACTTCATACTACTTAAGGGGTTTCAGATATTATTTTGCAATTGTGTGCTTATCTTTCAATCAATCGTCTGTGATGTTTAAAATAATAATAAAAAAAGAACTCTCTCCAGGGCAGTGTTTGGTTTTCTTTGAAATCTTGTTTTATGTAACTTTCTTTTGGTCTCATAACCTTTTGAAAATCTTTATTTTTACAACTTTTTGAGCTTGTGCGGTTCAAAACCTATCGCAGCATTACGTATAGTGCTACTGATTATGTGCGGCAAAAGCTTTCAGTTTGATATTTCTATTGGGAAAGACTTGGCTATCCTATAGCCTGAAGTTTTGTTCTGAAGATTTTTCATCAGTCCAAAAGAATTCAGACTGAATGATGTTAATGAACATGATCGTTACATAATATGATGGTTTTCTCATATGCATGTTATTGTCTTCGGAGTAGCCCTACAATGGGTAAGGAGTAAAGAAAAAAGTTTATTCTTCACCTTCATTTTTCTAATATCGCCTAGAATTGAGTAATGGTTTCAGACGGAGTTCTTTAGCTACTAATGGGGCTGTGGAATTTTAGAAACCGTCTTTCCTGTTCTTTTGATTCAGCTGAGATAGAAGGAATGAGCATATTTCATGTTTTGCATGTGTTTGTACTTCATTCAAGGTACTAATAAAAATTTAAGAAAATGTTTACATTTTTTAAATAATAAAAGAGGGCATATCATTTTGTTGCTTTCATTTTCTAAATACTGTTGAATTCTTACTGATTTACTTGTAGTCATTGGTTATTTGAATGGACCTTCATAAGGAATGAACATGCTCAGACAGGTTGGAGGACATACAGGAGACCAGATGACAAGTCTGGAGGGCATGGAGTGGGGTGGAGTCCCATTATCCCATACTTATTCAAAGTTCCAGATGGATGGGAAGAGGTTATTTTCCTCCACTCATCACTGAAATTTCTATCAATTTATTTATTTCGAATATTAGTTGATGCATTTATATTGATTCCTAGGTTCATTAAAAAAATTTGGAAGAGTTACATACTTACCACTCATTTTTTATGTAATTACATATCTAACACCCAAACTTCAATTTTTACATGCTTGCCACCTTACCTATGCTTCAAAAGGTGCATTTCACTTTTTTAATTTTAAAATGTTGGTGGTATAAATGTGAAAAAAGTGAAGTTTAGGTGTTAGATATGCAAAGACATCAAAATTGGGTTGTATGCTTGTAAAAGCGCCAACAAATTTTTATTTCTCAATAGTTTCATCTGCAACACTTGGCCCTAGGTTCCAGTCTCCATTGCAGATCTTGGGGGCACTGAGATCGACTTGCGGTTTTCAAACTCTCAAGAAGGGCGTTTGTTTGTTATTGTAGCTCCTGTACTACGATTTGCAGGTTAGCCTGGTTATACTACCACCTTAATGCTGATATCTATTATTCTATAAAGTAATGGCTTAATTTAGCTAAACTTTTTAAGAAATTATTGAGATTTAACAAAATTCTCAAATCACTGCTTTTTTTGAAGTTCAGAGTCATAAGCCCGTTAAAGACTGATGGATTCATCTTCAGCCCATATAGACAATTAGTTTTCCATTGCTTTGATTGAGGGAATTGTATTCCAAGGACTGGTGGATCTATTATGAATTTGCATTCATTGATTTAAGTATTTTAGCCCTTTCTGTTTATTTCCTTTCAGTCAAATTCCTCCCATCCAAACAGTTAGAATCTCTATTCCTATTGTTTAATGAATGTTAAGGGAGTAAATGAAAAGTTACTTATTTGTTGTTTAAATATGAATCTACTATCATTTTTTTCTTGCGCTTTCCAACAAAACAAAAATTTCAATAAGCCATCATGCTGGTCAATTGAATAACAAATCTCACTCTAATAAGTTGCATTTTCTTTTCATTTACATACATACCACAAAATTCTTATGTATTTAAATATCGACACTCAAAGTTTGATATTTATCATAAACCTATGCACGAAAAGGTGCATTTCACTTTTAAAAAGGAAGTGATGGTGGTATTTTAAATGTAATGTTGAAGATTCGAGTAGTATGTATTGATATATAATGTTTAGGTTTAGATATGTAAATACATAAGAATTAGGTGGTTTGTATGTAAATGCCCCCTTTTAATATTTCAGATCTCAAAGGAGATGCAACCATTGAGAAGATAGGACCACCTGAGAAGGTTATTTATGCTTTTGGACCCGAAATTATTGGAGAAAATGTGGAAGGAAAAGTATTAAACACACAAGTAGACGAGCATTCAGGAAGAACATATTACCAGTTTGAACTGGAGCCACCACATGTCCTTATATCTGCCACTGCTGCTGGGAACCGTCTCTACTTGTTCAGTGTTACTGCAAGTGGTAATTCATCTCTTTTTATTTATTTATTGCATCAACTATCTGAATTATTTTTCTGTAGGCCAATGGTGATTTTATTTGCAGGCTTACAGTGGAAGAGGCATTATAAGGATCTAAAACAAATAGCAGACTCCTTCAGGGTCCTCTGACAGAAGAGCCGTGAGTTTTTTGCTGTATGTTATTACTGTACTAATGGTAAATAACAGAGATGTAGTTTGCATAGTGTTCAGTGCGGAATTGTTTAACTGGTGAATTTAATATAAATGAGATTTCTGATGATTTATCTTTTACGAACTGCAAATACTGCTGTGATGAGCGGATTTTTTTGAGGGGTGGGAAGAGAAAAGATTGGGAAGTAATTGGAAGTTAATAAAATTTTTTTCCCAAAACATTTGAGAAAAGATTCAATCATATATAATATTAAACGTCTGCAAATTGTTGTTTGTACATTTTGTAGTTTGTAATAGTTTGAATGAACTTTTTAATTTTAAATGGGAGTGCCGTTGGAGCTTGTTGCTTGCTTTTGAATTCCTCAAGGATTCCCTCTTTCCATCTCACCTGTCCTGTAAATTGCAAAGAATTTGAAGATTAGTTGCTCCATTTCCAATTTGTCTCATTATACATGCAAGGAATTTGAAGATTTTGGTGCTCCATTTCACCTGTTCTGTAGATCCGAACTTAAGATTTTGTGAGCTTTACATAATGGCATCTTATTATATGCAATTAACCTTCAGTCGATATTCAATTAGACAAGCTTTTATCGCATTACAAACCCTTAGATGTGTATGTAAGAATACCGGTAGAAAATTATGATGTTAGTGCTGTATCGCACGAGTTATCATATCTTAGGTAAAAACCACACAGTTTTATGGTTAGGGGCAAGTCATTTACTTTTTTTAGGGGCATTTACATTGTTTTTACATGGCTAGCACCTAAATTTTTTTTTTTCACATATACCACCCAGTTCTTGCACTTTACATAAAAAATAGCACCATTTTAACTTTGAAAAGGTGAAAAGTATCTTTTCATGTATGGGTAAGATGGTATGTATGTAAAAAATGTAGTGCAGGTGTTAGATGTGTAAATACATAGGAATTGAGTGGTATGTATGTATATCTTCATTTTTTTTCATTTGATCTAAAAATGTATAGGGGCGTTTACATACATATCACCTAATTCTTATGTATTTACGTGTCTACCACACAATCTTTGATTTTTGCATTATATCACCCAAATCTTTCATATCGCATGAAAATACTATTATTTTAAAATATACCTTTCCATGCACAGTTAAAGTGGCATATATCTGAAAATTAAAGTTTAGGTGTTAGACATGTTATAGCACGAGAGCTGTGTGTATGCACGTGTAAATCTTCAAAGTTTCCAAATTATACTGCTCCTTTGCTCCTATACTCACTACCAACCATTTATGAGTGATATATAGAATTCCCCATTCATGAAAGCATATGAAGTGATCCCGCTAACCATATGGTGTTTTTTGAGTCGACAATCGGCTTTCTCAAAATTTCAAATGAATTAAAATGTCTGATGTTCTACATTATGCTGAGAGATTCTGCTTTTAGGTGGTCCAACGAACTTCCCGTAGAAATTATTAATTCCTTCGAGGATTACAAGAAGTTATTTTTAGGGGCAGTTTATTAGTGCCCAAAAGCTGCGAAAGGATTCAGGTTCTTTGTGGTACTTGGAACAAAGACCGAACGAGCGTCTGCAGTCGTATGTAACGAGATTCTAGAAGGAGATGCTTGAGGTCCGGAAACTGGAGCCAATAGTTGCCATGGTAGTGCTAGCATAAGGATTAAAGTGTTCGTAGTTATGATGCTTTCTGGGTTTAAAGAAACCCAACATGCTGGCGGAGGTTCCGGAGCTTCGTGGGATTTTTCTCTGAATAATTCTCTCTTCCAGATCATGCAGATGATTTAAGAGATGAGAAATTGGAGGATTGGGATAGACAATAAGACAATAACAGTAACAAATAAACGAAATGTATGGGAAGCCTTCATAAGGTGAGTTTTTGCATTATTTGCTCCAAAACATAAATCCAAAGTGAGATCAGTTTGGTATGCTTTAAAGATATAACTATGAAAGCAACCTTATGAAATTAAACTACCAGAAAATTCAGGTTGATGTACCTTATCTTTGGTTCGCATCCTCCTATAGGAACAAGTCCCTATAGTTAATTACATCTTAAGTAATTAAGACTACTCAAGAAAACTCTCGATTGAGATTATAATTTATTCTCACAAAGTTCAAGTGTCATTGTTAAGAAATGGAACGTAAAAGTCATATCCTAAATGTAGCAAATTTCTAAGGATTCTGAACTATCCTTGAGTTTTATTTTGTCGTTAGTGGTTTAGTTGAGATTTATCCTTTTGCTTTGTGTTTTGAATTTTTGTCCTTGGAAAATAGAATTAGCACACCCTAATAACATGAAAAGTAGGATCTGTTTGGGATAGCTGCAACTTATCCAACTTATGTTACTAAGCAACTTATCCTAACAAGCTGTGTATCTGCAGCTGATCCTGATAAACTGGCTGATTGTTTGGTTTGTACATTTGGAAAACAACTGATTATGCATAAATGATCATTCTGCCCCTGTTATAAACCAAATGAATGCATTAAAGATTGACCAAATATCCTAACTTTAACCAGCAAACACCTCACCTCTATGATCATTTTTCTTAATCATCTAAGTAGCCATTGCCCATCAACCCAACCCTAGACTAACTGTAGAGCCACTTTTTACAAGAATTATATCTAATAAAAATAATTTAACAAATTTCAGGATAATTAACGAGAACAAGTTTCTATCTTGATTCAAGTTATTCCATCATCATTCAAACAATCAAAAGGGTTGTTTGGTAGGAGGATTTGAGCAGAATTTAACCTAAATCCTGCTAAAGAACAAAATTAACTAATCAATCCTGCAGAATCTGCATTCTCGCATTGAAAATCCAATTGGAATATGGATTACTGCAAAACTCGTGATCCATCTCCTTCGGCCGAACCCTCCCCGCTCCGTTCTCTACCCTTCGCGAAAAAGCTGAAGCTCGGTCGCGCCCTCCTTCTCGCCGCCAATGCCTTGCCAACGCTCCTCACGAGCGAACACCCTCGACGCAGATGTCCTCCCCTCTCCCCGAGCTCCTACCCGAGGGCTTTTCACATGGTAATCAAGCTCCTTGGTAATCAAGCTCCTTCCCCGCCACCACCCGAAGCTTCTTCTCAGACTCGAAGCTCGTCGTCGTCGGAGGTAGCTAAAGCACGCGAAGGGCTGGTTGCGGTCTACTTTCTTACTCCTACCCGAAGCAAAGGATAGGCGGAGAGCAGAGGGCACAGCAAGAATTTTTAGCTGAACGCCGAATGAAGACGCGGGAGGCCAGGTAGATTCTGAGTCTATTAAGAATCCCAAAATGTCGTTTTGAGATAAGCTATGCAAATGGGAAAAATAAATAGTGCAGTGGCATTTTGAAAATGCTTTCTACATAAATAAATTGTCTCAAACAGGAGAAATATTTGGATATGACTATTCAACGAAATAAGACAGAGAGGTGTAAAATGGGAAAATATTTGCGTACATAAGATGTTTGCAGCTCTGCGTACAACAGGGGTTATTCAGGGGGTACAATGGGGTTATATCTGGGTTATACCCCCTTGTAACCTCCGGTATAACCCAGATATAACTCCTCTGTATCCCCAGAATAACCTCTGATGTACGCAGCGCTGCGTACATCTTATGTACGCAAATATTTCACCTCAAACAGACCCTAAATCTAGGGTGACGTCTGTCTTTTTGTCTTCAACATTTCTGCAAAACAAAGTTAGTAGAAAATTATGTTTTTGTTAATTTAGTTTGTTTGTTAATTTGTTAATTTTTAGACAACTCAGTTAAGATGTTCATGGCTCCGTTGTCTCGTGGTCATCAGGTATCTGGTCTACTTGGTCTAAGAGATGGTCAAATCTACTATGACAGGAAGATTCTTATTAGCAACCATGGATTGCACGTCCAAAAGATCTTTATAGATTTGGGTAGGGGTTCAAGTTGCATTCAATGTTATTTGTTTATTAATATTTATTTTTAATGTCTTTTTCAGATTTTATGGGTTGAAAAATTTTAGGTTGCTTGAAAATTATTAGCCTTAATTTTTTTAGTTTTATCATTTTTTTGTTGTTTTGAACGACCTAGTCAAGATCCCATGATTCCATCATTTTAGGGTGATTGGGGCTTGTGGTTTCATCAGTCACAAGTGATTGGACGATATTTTGTCAACAACCATGAGTTGCCTCCACGAAAATACCTTCTTAAACAAAGTTTTATTTTTTTGGTTCAAGTTTAGGTTTTAATGACTTTTAGGGTGGATTTTCTATCATTTCATTTAGGTTGGTTGGCATTTTAGCCCAAATTATCCCCAACGGAGGCTAAGTATGCTTTTGTTCTCATATAAGAAGTCAAACCCTACTTAATCATCAATCACCTTGGCTCAGGTTGATTTTAGATTAGTTCAAATTTGATTGAACTGATCTAAAGATGAATCTATAGGTAATCTGAGTTAATTCGAGTTAGGTTGGTTGTCACTCAGATTAGCTTCAAAATAGTTTAAATCAACCTAAGTTTAATAGGATTGACCGAGGCAGACTTAGTTTGATTAGGGTCAAAATAGCCTTGCTTAGCTTAGATTGACTTAAGGTAAGCCAAGTTAAACCAAGTTTAACTTAGGAGTGGACCAGGTTGAGCTGGATTGATCCAAGTTAAACCCTTTGGATTGAGTCAAGTTTAAGTTAAATTAAACTTTAGTATAGTCCATGTTAATTTATGCTTGAGTTGTCTCTTTAAGTCTAAGTTGGATTAGATTTAAATGAATCATTAATTAAACTGAGGTTGGGGCTTAAGTCAAGCTTGAAGTTGAGTCTCAAGCTTGGTTAAATAGAGTTTAATTTGATTGTCTCGTTGATTCGGAGATTGGGTTGGATTGGGTTAACTCGAGTTAGGTTAAGTTGATTAGTGATGCAATTGAATTGGGTTAACCCAAGTTAGGTCAAGTTAACCCAGAGATTAAGTTGAACAATTTTAATCCGAATTAGGGCAGGTTGACCCAACGATTCAATTGAATTGGGTTAACCTGAGTTAAGTCAGGTTGACCCAGTAATTCTTTGATTTGGGTTAACCCGAGTTAGGTTGGGTTGACCCAGTAGTTCAATTATAGTTGTTCAACCTGAGTTAGGTTGGGTTGACCTAGTAATTCAATTGAGTTGGGTTAACCCGAGAGTTGTTCAACCTGAGTTAGGTTGGGTTGACCTAGTAATTCGATTGAGTTG